AGATGCTACCAATTTTAATATTTTAAGAGGTATTACCGAGAATAATTCACGTAGCAAATGAAGAACATAACGTTTGGAATGAAAGTAAATCAATTTACCATTATGTGACACTTGGATCTAATAAAGCAAATGGACATAAGTGATACACAAAAGCCTGGACAAATGGAGACATTTATTTCTCTACTTTGAAAAAATAAGCATAAGCCATTTGTAAAACATATGGTCTCTAAAATGGACATTCAAGGTATGTACTGAAACCACCATTGAATCCAAAAAGTGATGATAGCAGCAATTTGTAATTCTCTGCAAGACTTATACATAATCATTTACTGCAACTAAAGTAGGAATTAATATCGACTAGATTATTAAAGACCATATAAGAACTTCAACGATTAGAACATATGATTTTTGAAATACATAGGCAATCTTTTAACAAATAGATGCTCTCATAATAAAGAGGTCTGTAAATGATCTGTAAGTGATCTGTAAATTTGTAAATATTCGTAGAATTACTTAATTTTTAAATTATTAATTTTTGTAAGTCTCGTGTACTAAAATTACTGAAATACTGGAGAAAGTTCATATAAATTGTATAAATATAAACCTTTCCAGTGAATCTATTTAAGGTGCATCAATCTATTATACACAACAGGGATTACAAATGGCTCTGCGTCCAAAACGCGATTCCTATTTACATCATTCGAATCAGGCCAGGTCCCATTGTTTATGGTTCGTAAGGTATTCTCGGAGATGGTATTGTGCTCGAAACGACGCGAGTTAATGATCGTCGTCGACCTAAATACCATGCGTCGATACCCTATAATCCACGGTAACACGCGTTCGAAACGCGACAGAACCGATTCCTGAAATAAATCGTCTAAACAGATAATTCAAAACTGCGCTCAACTAATTCAGCCGCGGGATCGTTACCGACAGATCTCTAGCGAGCGTTCTAGAGTCCACCTGTTGCCTCTTTCCTGACTCGATCGACGCCCGTAATTATAGAGTAGCAATGGGTATAACCGGAGGTATATTGCACGCAACATTTTAACTCAGTTACTATTACCAAATCCTACAATTTAATTGGATATAAAATATTAGGAAATTTAGTTGGATGGAAATATTACGGTTATTTCGCCCTAATGCGAGGAGAGCTTAGATGGTAACAAAAATTCAACAGGTGCAAAGTTATTATAATATGGCGATTTATTGTAAAAGTGACTTCTCAGTTCTTATACATAAATCAGAATTTAAAACAGAATTCAAAATTTGTATGTATCGCTTCGTTTCTTTTATTTTCATTTTTACACAGCGTCGATTTAAATAAATAAGAAACAACGCAATTTATTTTCAGTTTATACTTCAATTTGCAACCACGAGTTGACGTTATAAGTACACCAAATATGTACTCATCAGTGTCAAAAACAAATACTTTAACAACGACGAACATATCGAGAATGTCGATCATGTGGAACATCGATTATGTATTATCGACTGAAGTGGCGAATGTTCCCTAAGCTACCGGAATGACTCTGTTTACAAACGTTAAACTCATGATTGAGAAGTCAAGAACTTTCGACCTGCGATAGTTAAGGGAATTCAGTCGAACGAGAGAGTGAAACCACGGGTATATTTAGAAAATTGGGGCAGTGTGCTCATCCGACGACTCTAAGATCATTACGGACCTTTTTACACGAAATACAGAAAGCACGGAGGCTCTTCCTAACCTAACATTCCATGCATATGCTCGCGAATTGATTCGCGGTCGTTTAACGAACAGAACGTTCCATTGATTTATCTACGTTGCAAATTAATCGTGACGGCGTTCATTAACATTGTTGCATAACTGAAGTGATATCTACGAACTCGAATTAATGCCCGCCCAGCCTTTCGAATAGCAGCCAAGAAAAATCTTAATGACTTCATTCAGCATGACATACATCACGCGGTTGACAACATCTAAAATCGCTTCGATTCTCCGAATAATTTTCTGAAACTCACTTGGAAGCTATTAAACTTAGAGGCGCCGACAGTGACGAATTTGTTGAAGTGCGTTCACTTGAAACTTGAAGCCCCATAACTGGGTTATATACCATTTAAAACTTTACTTCCTGACGGATAATAAGCATCTAACTGGATAGGATAAACGCTCCGCGAAGAGTTCAAAGGGTAAAGGATGAATATGCAAAAATTATTTTCAGGCGTTTCGAAATGAACACGAAGTACGTGTTAATCGAAATGGTTCGTTAGACAGGAAATAAATGATCTGTACATTTGTTTCTAGGACTGCAGGCAGGAGGTTAGGAGGCTAAGTTTTGCCGCTAGGAGTAAAAATATCCGGTTAGTAACAGTCTAACTATTGTTTCTCAATAATTCTACGTGACTTTAATTACTTTATATATATCTGAAAATCTGTATGGACGATGTGTAAAATTTGAATTGTTTAATATGTAAACAAGAATGAAAGATAAAGATTCGTGGATTTTATTCTGTACTATACATCTTTGAAAACTACGTGTCCTAGATCTCAACTTATTTTATAATCTTTGGAATATAGCAACAATTATATTTCGGTAGCAGTTTCTTACTACAGTACAACTATTTCAAGGCTAAGTCAAGTTGACAGGTTTTCGACATGAACCATATTTTCTGCAAAGTGATTTATATAATTATGAATCCTTTGAATTATCAATGACGTAAAAATTCAGTGTACAGCTTTTGGTGAACGATTTTCAATTGAATTTAATGATTAAATTTAATAACTCAGGGAAAAAAAAGATTAAAAATAACGAATAGTTTGCAACGTCGAGCAACTAAAAGTCCCTAGTCTGTTGTTACCAACCGAAATACACGAAATTCCACGCGAAAGACGATTCGTAATAAATTATCTTCCAAATCATTCTCGATTCGTTGATTTACTTGGCTATTGAAAGATAAAGCTTTTCAAGGTTCAAAAAATCATATCGTGTCCCGAAAAAAATCTCTCTCGACGATTAGAATATCGTTCCTTTTCCTCTTCAGCACTTTTGTAAACATAGTGAATGCACAGTAACAGTCGGTAGGTCGCCTCGAATCGTGGCCGCATATCCGTCGAAACATGCCGACACGAATTAGTAACGCGGATACGAGAAAGTTTCGACACGATAGTTGGTGTTGTACAAGCCGTCTAGAGAGCTTTCTGAACTTTCTTTCAAATAGAAGAGTAGTCGAAGGGGCAAAAAGTCGCAATGGTGGGAAAAAGAGAGAAAGTGCCAGTTATTCTGGTCCAAGCTCTTCTGATGCGCTTTTCTCGATGGCGGCTGGAATTCTCCGCCAGACGGAGCCACGTGCCCGCCGTCGGTAGGAGTGGGAACAAGGTGATGAAGAGGACGCAGCAGAGAAGGGGCCAATCTCAAATTACTTGGTGAGCTCCCGGCTAGGCCGAACGAACATCTTTGCCCACCATTGCCCGGCGACCTTTTATAGACACTCGACGGGAGTGGGAGAGGGGCCGGGAGGTCGAGGAAATTTGGTGAAAACTGGAAGTTTCAGTTGGCAAAGGATCCACCAGTTTTAAGCCGTTTTCTGCTTAAACGACTCTTCGTGACTTCTGATCGGAGGGTGGTGAAAGGGGGAAGATGATTTATGGATGAAAGTGAAAGGTCGAATTCGAGGATTTGGAAGCGAAAGGAGAGGTCCGGCTGTCTCTTGTTGCTGTTTCATGTGAAGGAAAATGGATTATAAGATATAAATACGGGAGGAATTTGAGACGGTGGTGGGGAAAACGCTAGTAGAATGGGAAGCTCCTGTTTCAGACGGCCGTCTAGTAGAATAGGTAAACGATCGAGTCCGACGATTTAGATACAACGAAATTACATTGACGCACGCCTTTTGCAGGACTATTGCTCATGGCGTTAATAATTTTTATTATTATACATACTATAATTCTAGACAATGTTAACAATAAAATAATAAAATAAAAAAGTAGGGAACACTCTCCACTTTCTCCTAAATTACTATTCTACAATTTTTTAATCATACATACATGATTTTCTCCCATAATCCTGTCTCATCGATTTCTCTATTTACAGAATTTGGCAGGAACTTTAAAACGCACAAATGAATCAATGCACGATCATCCGAATACCTTTAATGTTACTCCAATACACCGATTAACATGTACAAATTTAAACAAAAACTCATTCACTACCAATATAGAAAATAACATGTGCTGAAGCAAATTGGAAGTAAAAATAAATTCCGTCATTAATCTCGTGCATTAGTCAAACGTCCACGAGATTATTCCCACAATATTACTCATGAACAAACGTCCAAATCGACTTGAACAACATGCCATGGAACACGATTAACATACCGATGATCCTCGCTTATCGTCGTCAAGAAATACTCGCGTTACCGAAACGGTAAGATACGCCGTTAAAGATAGTCGGTATCTTACTTAAATGGAATTTGAATCAAATTTGAGGAATCAACTACCACGTAGACCGCGATACCAGCGTCGATGGAAACGCGCCCGGCATTCTCGTTAGGCACCGTCGCAACGTCAACAACGACCCGGTGAGTGTAAATAGCGAAAAGCTGAACGTTTTATCACAGCTGCACGAGATGGGCGAGAATTCTCGACAGGTTTCGAAGATCCGCGTCGCAAACGGCAGATTTTCGTCAAAAGCTCTTCGCTCACCTGTTGACCCATCGGTCAACCTCTTTCCATCACCTATTACGAGTTATTTATAAGGCAATTCGCTTCTGATAAGATCAGAGGGCGAGTGAAATTCTATAACGCGCTTGCAACGCGGTGAGTGGTCGCGCAAAAATAGTCGCGGATGATTCGACTATTCTAAAATGATTTTTGGCGTCGATATTACGCTATATCCGTGACGTAGTACTATTGTTGCACTTTCTTACGCCCACGTTTGTTATAGATTCGAACATGTCAACGACACTACTCATCGATGGCCGATCCACGAGCGAAACCGATGACCCTGCAGCTTTTCAAGTACGGCATATCTAAATCGGTATACGAAGTGAGGCGCGGTTGCAGAGGTCGAACGTTAGGCGAATAATTCCACGAAGTGAGAGGCGTGGGACGATAGTAGACGATTCTGGTTCTATTTGCCGAGGGCTAGGATAATTTCGTGCGTGAATCGATCTTCGATCGAGGCTCGTACACCTGTTGAGTACCGGAGTTTATTGTACTCCAAGAAGACGCTTGGCAAAAATTTTATTTTCATCTCTTTGAAATTTTGTTACGTTTGCTTGTCGAATGAATTCCGAGTAGATTTTTGTGCTGGAGGAGAAATGGGTGTCTCGCTCCTCGAGTTAATTTTTCCTTCTAGAGAAAAGTAGAAAGTATATTATATTTGAGATAAGTCATGTTATATTTCAAGTTACTGGTTTTCTTAAGGAGAAAAGGAAAATCATATTACGTTAAACTTGCTTTCTTCGATATTTATTACTTTCGTTGGATAAATCAATTTCTGCGAAGGAAAGATATGCTGCTCTCTAATTTCACAGTATTATTTTTAGTGTCGGTTTATCATACTAGACAAATACGTAAGGAATGTATGTATAATAAATACCGGAAGTTTTGATGAATCGCCAGATGTAACGAGATATCGATCTCTTAATATTTGGAACAATGTGAGGCGCAATAGACTATAGCTTTACAAAATGCGACGTATCTGGTTAAACCATACGCAGATTACGTCTGAAAATAAAACAACAAGCAGGTTTCAACTTTGCATAAACGAAGTTGCTGGCTCCGTCTCAACATCACAGCCACGATGAATACTTCTGTACTCTTTTTTGAATCCCGAAATATTTTCTTCTTTATAAATGTGGCTTTTTACAAAACAAGGCAGTAACACGAGATTTCTGGATGACATTCTCGGTACGTTGTACGTATGAAACTAACGACGCACGTTAAATCAAATTCTTGACATACATGAATGTATATGGAGTAGCGTGTACGAAATTGATATTTATGGAATGACGATTCGTTTTTCTTATGTCATAGCGCCATATTCTAAATAATACACGTAATATTCCCTAAATTGCATCTTGAACCCCTCGTCGACGAAAACATTGCGAATAATAATACATTATAGCTATAAATACACCGCACCAACTCTTACAACGCACGATACATGGTTACATACTGTCTCAATGAAATCTCAATGACCACTATACTCGATCTACATCCACTAGTATCCATCCCTGAAAAAACTACCCTTCAGTTCTTCCACCCCGAATGAACATTGCAACTAAATCTGCAAACTAAGGTACAACTTACTTCTAATAAAGGAAATGTCACAAAAATCTACAAAGATATCTAAAATACTAAAGAGAAGCGGAAAGAAAAGAAAAGAAAAATGGGAAGAAACGGGAGAAAAATGGAATTGAAGACGGAATGGCCGGTTCCCTAAGGAGGAGGCAGTTTGGCAGGCAAGCTCGGAAACGTGGGCGTTCGAGTAACGGTGGTGGTCGACGGCTGGTGGTTCCCCTCGATGGACGACGAGGACGAGGAACGACCACGATGACGAGTCGCCGTGGCGTGTTCCTGGTGGGGGTCGGCGATCTACCACGCCTGCGCGGAACCGTCATTTTGACGAAGCCATGGAGCCGCCGGCGCGCCATACGAACGACGACGGGTCGCGCACTACCAGTAGGGCGCTGGTCGGCTCCGAAACCCCGAAGAAGAAGAAGAAGAACAGAATAAGGAAGAAGACGAAGAGGAAGAAGCCGAAGAAGAAGCGGTGAGGTGGAAGAAAAGTGGTAGAAAATTACATTACGACGATTCTGTTTGAAACAATAAACGACTGAACGTAGCACCAGACATCGAGGCGAGAAGCTGTTTTAGACGAGACAGAGCCCGAGGAAGAAACGAATCTCTCGGTTACAAACGAGGAACAAAGCTTACTTCGTGAAAGTCGCGAGTGATCTAAGCGGACAGGATGTCTTCAGCGGTCGCTAAAGCTTCCAAATACACGTACCGCTCCACCGGCGGTGGTACTGCCGATGTCAGCATCGAATACAGCGCCGACCTGAGCGCTCTCACCAGACTGGAGGTAGGTTTTGGACAAACAAATAGCTTTTCTGAAAAACACCGTGGAAGATATCTAGGTACATAACGCTGCTTCTTTTTTAACGTTTCTTTTTCTCGTAAATAATTGACTTTTATTTACATATTATTCTTCGGATATTACTCTAAGACTTGTCTTTCCTGAATCGTATATTTTGTTACGACAATGACACAGGAAAAGGAAGCAGTGTATCGATAAATCCCAATTCCTTAGAAATGGGTGAGTCACCCCTTATTATAGAACTATTGTCTACAACTAGTTACTAAGAATAGAAAGGGAACAGGAGGCACGTCTGAATCATCTAACGTTTATATCGAATAAAGTTCACTCTCGATCCATATGACAGTTATAATTCATTGAAGACAATACCAAGAATGTCTTGGAAGATACCATGCTCTGTAGGCAAAGTCTAAGATATTCCGTTAGGTTTAAATCGTTCTTTCTGAAGAGTCCAAGGTTTTAGCAAACCTAGGACGTTCGTCGAAGTCTACCCGATGATGCAACGTGAAGAGATCGGGACAGGGGAGTCAGAAGAGGTGTGAAACAGCGAGGTACTCCGAAGTAGTTCGAGATAGCATGAACAACGAGAAGGAAGAAAGAGCAAGATAAGTCGCAGGGAGGAAGTGATCGCTGGTGAAAAGGTGAAACGTCGAGCAGTGACCGATTTCGGGGACAGTGAGACGCGAGAAAGTTCAGTGACCATAAGGGATATTAGTGCCAACCCTGACGAGGAACGAAAGTGTCTTAGACGGTTCTCTGGCTATCGAATTGCTCGTGTACGAAAATAGTCGTAAATATCGGTCCTAAATGACGATCGTGCCACGCAGCAGTGACATCTTCGAACGATCCACAAAGCGTTCCCGTCGAAAACGAACTCGATCAACGTCGTTCATCTGGATCTTCCTCTGGGATCGTCTTGGACGACGTTAATTATCCCAGTCTCGTGGATCGAACGAAAAAACGAACGAAGAAGGATGAAGTGTCGAAGAGCCAGGGAGTTTGCACTCGTCTGTAGACTCAAGTAAGATTGTTCGTATTTTTCTCCATCTTTTCTCTTTGGATTCGAGAACGTTTGCCGTTGCTATAGTTAAGGAAAGACGAGTGCACGTTCCTTGGTTCCTTGGTTGAAAACGACCCCGTCGGGTCAGCCCGTTTCAGAGGCTGTCCGTCTTTCTGAAATACCTTCCGAGCGTCGGCCTGTTGGGTATTTTCGTCGGCCGATTACGTAAAGCACCGACCCTCTGTAACGTGGCTCGCGATACGCTCTAATCCTTTCTTGCCTCTCGTTTCAGGACAAAATCCGCCTGCTGCAGGATGACCTGGAGTCTGAAAGAGAGCTGCGTCAGAGGGTGAGTTTTCTTTTCAACGATCCTTTAGCGATAATTCTCCTTTGTAGTCAATTATTCTTTCGAGGAGATCGCGTCGAAAGAGCGGATATCGATCGATCGTTCGATCCTGAATTTTTCTTTTAACCAAACGTGTGGTTTCCTGAATGTTGTTAATGTTATACTTTCCACACTTCCTTCTTCTTAGTAAATGCAATAGTAATATACTATTTCTAATTTTTCTTTCGATAATGGAGATCAAATCCTAGCATGCAAAAGTAGTTTACTCTTTGCATCGGATTTTATACTATCCGTTTATCCTAGATGGTTATTTACCATCTAACTATTCGATAGAGGTACGATAATCTCGCTTATCATCGTGATCGAGGCATCGAAGAAATCCGAGCTAGACACGCGTCGATGTCTCACAGACAAAAATACCGAGACGGCCAGAGATAAACGTCAATTTCGAGACTTTATGTAATCCGGGTATTGTGAATTTTGAAACTGATACAAAAAAAGCGGGCTGGCCTGCTCTCCACCATAGAGTGGGGAGCAGTAGGTCGAAATGTCCAGCTCTCGAGTCGCGGCTATTTTTGGGGATGCGCGCCTCTTCAGCGTACGAACTCGCATTCCTCTCTCGTGTTCGGTCAACATGTATCTACGTCTACCTGTTTTAAAAGGAAAAAAATCCAACAGGATCCGAAACTTTTCTCGGAAAATCTATTTCATTCGAAAATGATATCGGGTGCGTGAAATTTCTTCGAATCTCGATACTTTAATCTTCGATTAATCGTCGACCAACGTGTTATTATAGGACGCGTGATGGACGAAATATAATTTTCGATTTTATCGTGAATAGGAATTTTTTCGTGGCACAAACGTGAATTTTGAAGGTTCCAGAGTTAATCCGAGTGGAAACTTTTGATTCATTCAGGGATACAGTTTAGGATTCTAGAGACAATGGAGATCAGTGTTTAAATGGGGCGTTAAATTTAAGGAGAATTCCTCCGGTTTCATTGTTCGGTCAAGCTTCGAGGAAATCAAATTCATACGTAACGTTGCTCGTGATACGTGACTTGAACCGGTGCCAGGGACATTTTCCGTGCTTCGAAACCGCAAAAACTCGCGAATTATGATCGTATTTAACGTATATCGTTCGATGAAATATCTGTTTAATTATCCTTGCGAAGATTTAACAGCCCTCGCTGCTTAGATCATGTTTCTCATTATATAATATTGCGAAGTCTTGTTGCATCTATCATAGTTATCGTTTAAATTGGATTTTTCATATTCGAGTATCCATTCGCGGATCAAGTTGTCCTGCGAGCTTGGATTTGAAATTATTTGTTGAATTTTTTAATTAGTTTCGAATAAAATTGTCACATTACTGTGTCAAAATTTAGAATTAGGCTCTTCGTTTTCCTGTTACTTTTTAACACACCATGTGTTCTAGAATTATTAATAAATTCTTTACCGTATATAATATAATGATAAAAATAATTATTAAATCTCACTATTTTGTATAATTGCAAGTTCCGTTTTTATGAAAAAAAATTACTTCTTTGATTGGCAATCTTTTCATTGGCGGAAAAAGTATTGGAAAATTACCGATTGTTTACCATTAGAGTACAGATTTCTTGTTTTCAAAATTAATTTTTCTCCAAGTTACCAGGAGATCGCTTTTTTATCAACAATAGGTAAACTCGGTGAGAAACATGGCGATCGTCGATGGTTTCCGGAGACCGGACAGTTATGGCGATGTCGCGCGTCTCTCTTTTCTCGATAAACGCCTCGTTTGTAATATGAATAAAGCTCCCGATATAGAGCCGGTCCGTACGGAATTAGATCGTTCTATTCGCGGTCCAAAGAAACCTGACGTCAAGCTTGCACCGAGCTGTTCGCGTCGTTCCTCGAGGCCTCTTTCCAAAACAATGCCGCACGTCTCGATTACACTCGACGTGTATCAACACGAACGCCATCTACATGAATTCCTAACCTGCAGAGAGGAATACGTAAAACGGGATTAGGAATGATTCGTATTCTGCATACCGGTGATACGTTTCGTAAATGCCTATGGGATGTTTCACGAGACTTCTTTCGCTTTTTATCAACGAAGTGAGATGATTGGTTTCTGGTGCTTCTTGAAGTGAAAATAGACGTGTTTGATGTTTGCATTTAAGGTAGACGAATTGTAAGTGAAATGTAAGGTTAAATGTAGAGTTGTTTTTGAAGATTAGAGGAATTATGAAATTGAAAAAGCTAAAAGCTTCTTTTCCATATATTTATATAGTTCTGATAATTTTCAATGTTCATGACAACATTAATGAATGATAAGTGTATTCTTTAAATATTAACATGAATTCCTGTTTCATTAACTTTCAGCTACATACGTATATATATATTTATACCTTTGAACATTTTCGTTTGAAAAGCTAAATTCAAGTTTTTATTTTTTATTAGAAAGAGATTGCGTGAATTAAAAAATTTGACTTCTAAAATACTAGAAACTATCGAGATTTCTGTAATATTAATTTACGTATTAATATTTTTCTTAGCTAATGCGCTCTAACCTCTCTTGGTAATTTTACAGATCGAACGCGAGCGCGCTGATTTGAGCGTGCAAGTCATTCAGCTGTCCGAACGTCTCGAAGAGGCGGAAGGTGGCGCCGAATCTCAAGTAAGTCTCGAAATCAATAGAAATGAAGTACTGCGAGTTTTTCAATTTAATACATCGATTTTCGTATAAGTCGTACGCCTACAGATTTCGTTAAAAAATTTTAATTAAACCCTGCAGTTCGAGATCAACAAAAAGAGGGACACGGAACTGGCTAAGCTGCGTAAACTACTCGAAGATGTTCATCTCGAGAGCGAGGAGACCGCGCACCTTCTGCGTAAGAAGCACCAGGAAGTCGTTGTCGATTTCCAAGATCAGATCGACCAACTTTCGAAAGCACGAGCCAGGTTAGTAGATTAATCGAATTTCTGCGATTTTGTCGGTCTATATCGATGTAGACTTCTATTTTCTTACATTCGAAGGAAACAGGTTTCTAGAATTTTTAATTACACTCTACATTCTTTACATTTATTCTTTGATATATTATTAGGTATTTCCTCTCAAATTACCAGGAGTAGTAAAACAATGATTTCAGTATGTTCTGCACACAACTCAAGACTCTTACATCATCATTTACTCAATAATCTTCAGCATGTTCAATCTATTTTCAGTACAACTATCGCACCGAGCGCAAACATTACCAGATACTATACTAATACTTCTGAAACAATCCAAAGTTATCCAAAAATATACTTCTCCGTTTATTTCTAGTAACTCGTTCCCAACGACTCAAATTTCATCATCTCCGCATAAGAACTCTCTTATTCTATAATATCTACACCCAAAAATGTCAGACTAACATTTCATTTCTCAATTAATATTCTACAGAAACCATTCAAACTTCAATACAATCAAGAGACCAAATACTCGACGCCAAGTCAAATTCAGTACAATTCAAGTATACGTTTCATACCAACTCTGCATGCATATTACACTGATGCGACTCGTCAACCAAGCTCACTCCAAGGGATATCAAACTCGAGCAACAGAAGCGAAACGCGATAACATTACTTTCGTGGGTATCTAAACATCGGGTCCCGATAGGGAGTAGGGAACGCCGGAATCGGAACATCAATAAACCGTGGTTAATTATATGCACCTGTGAAAATAAAATCGCGGTCTCGCGATCTCGCTCTTTGAGGTCAAAGCGTGCGAGCGCCATACATAGTGTCAATAAACAGTTCGCCGGAAGTTCGAAGATTCGTCGAAACCCAGTTTCGTTTCTCGTGTAGTCTCGGCGATAAAAGAGAGCGAGAAACGAAAAAGAGGGAGAGAAAAAGCGCGAGAGAAAAAACGAAATAGAAAACAAGGATGAATCACGGTGCCTCGTTAATTATAGCAAGCATCGCGCGGAACGAAAGCGTATTCGAAAATTGCGGGAATTATGCTCGACGATACTGGCCCCAGGCCAAACAACGAACCTACTCACACCTGAAATACGCGTAGACTCGTTCTCCCGGCACTTCTAAACATAACCAGCGTCCTTTTCGACGTCCCGGTGCCGTCGCGCGCGATACTGCTCGTTACAAGGACGCCTGCGTTTCGAAAATTTACCGAGCTGTCATTCGCACGTCTATTATCTCCGGGATCTTCC